AAGCGCTCTGGCAACCAAACCCAAACTCCAAGGGGAAAAGGAGGGACCCTTAGTAAGGACCCCTAGGTATATACCCTCAATAATATAGCTATTATATACCCAGTATATAGCCCATTATAGGGTAGGGGTCCCCATTAAGGGTCCCTCCTTTTCCTCTTTGACAAACGTCCCGGTATCTCCTTAGGAGGGTCCGGAAGCTGTTAGGGAGAGTCCTTGGGTCTATTTGGTCTCAGAAACCTTCAATTTTGAGGTTCCCCGAAGTGTTAGGACCCTTAGGGTAGGCGTAAGCCCTTTCAGAAACCACAAGAACCAAGAGTGTCCGAAAATAGAGCTATCATGCAATTAGGCCCCCCCCCACCCCCAAACACCAACAGAAGGATGGTCATGTGGGACTTAACTCCCCAAAGGGTCAATGTACCCAAACTTGTCTACACTTTGGCCGTAAAGTAGTCCCTAGATGGCCCTACTTAGGTACTTTGGGGCCATACTTGGGTACATGGACCCGTAATTAGGGATAATCGTCCCGGAATAGTATGTACTTGGAGGGTCGGGGGACTTGGTAACTGGTTACTTTGGAGACTTATAAGTACCATAACCCCAATTAGGGTCCCTTTTAGGGTACTTATAACTCTATACTTACTACCTACTTACTAAGTCCCATACCTCCCCTCCCCTGTAGATCCCCTTATAATCCCCCTATAGATCCCTTTAAGGAGCCCTTTAAGGATCCCTTTAAGGATCCCCCCACCCTCCAAGTATGGACCTTCTGGGGAAGAGAGGCTATTTCGGCCCGTGGAGTTCTCCTCCGTGGAGGTGCTCGAGACGATGGGATGGTTTGAGGGTTTAGGGCTGTAGGGGTTTATTTAGGGCTTAAGGGGTTTAGGGCTTTAGGGGTTTATACAGGGCTGAAGGGGTTAGGGATTTAGGGTTTAGGGCTTTAGGGCTGTAGGGGGTTCGGGTTTAGAGCTTTAGGGCTTTGAGGTTTAGGGCGGTAGTGGGTTAGGGTTTAGAGCTTTAGGGCTTTGGGGTTTAGGGCTGTAGGGGGTTAGGGTTTAGAGCTTTAGGGCTTTGGGGTTTAGGGCTGAAGGGGTTTAGGGCTTCAGAGCTTTAGGGCTGTGGTTTAGGGCTGTAGGGGTTTTAGGGCTTTAGAGCTTTAGGGCTGTAGGGGTTTAGGGTTTAGCTTTAGGGTTTAGGGCTTTAGGGTTTAGGGTTTAGAGCTTTAGAGCTGTAGGGCTTTGGGGTTTAGGGCTGTAGGGGTTTGTTTTAGAGCTTTAAGGCTTTGGGATTTAGGGCTGTAGGGGTTTAGGGCTTTAGGGGTTCAGTGCTTCAGGGGTTTGGGCTTTAGGGGTTTAGGGCTTTGGGGTTGGGGCTTTTGCTTTATCTTGCATCGCTTGGTTTTGTACACCGTGATCCGCATGCGCGTAGATCGGATCTTTGGGGGGAGCCTGCGGCTTGAATTCTTTTAATGCTGTCGGTATGTGGCTTCAAGGTGTGGGGTTTTCGTGGTGCTTTCCCTAGCCTATAAGCGGGTTTCGAAGCAGTTAGTAGTTACGTACTTGGGTGTAGGAGAATATTTGCAGTCCTTGTGGAGTTTTGCAGTCGATGATCAGATGTAAGGCCTAGTCTAGACCTGGGTTGTCCTTTGGGATCTTTCTATTTTCCCCTGCTATTTTGTAGAGAACCATAATAGTAAATGATTTTCAAAGGGCTTAAAGGACAACTCAGAGACTGCAAGACTAAGCTTCAACAATCCATACGCGTAAGCCCCAACCAAACTACGCAGCTACCAAAAGCCCACTCCCTTTATGGGCTCTACCTAGAGGATCATGGGACTTAGTAACTAGGGTTATTATTAGGGTAACTATACTTATAACCCGAATTAAGGTACTTATAACCTTACTTACTAAGTCCCATGATCCTCCAAGTACCACCCTTCGTCTCGCAAGCTTCAGTTTCGGCACAACGCCTTTTGAGCTCCAAGGCCCAAAATTACATTGCTCTTCCCACGGCATACCCAAAGGCTCCATGTACCTCAAAAGTAGATACTTAAGCCTTAAAGGGGTCCCTATATGGATACTTTAAGGCCTAGGTATATACTATATGGGTACATGGAGCCTTGGGGATACCTTTCAACACAAAACCCCTAAACCCTTAAACCCTAAGCACACTCCCGTCGCAGGTCATCGATCGTCTGCCGCAGGTTTGGAGGAGAAGTGACCTGCAGGAGCACCGCCCAAGCTGCCTTCGAGTCTTAGTAACTAGGGTTCCTTAAAGGGGTCCTTAAATGGATCTATAGGGTTCCTTAAAGGGATCTATAAGGGCTCTGCAAGGGTTTTTTTCGGGTCTTTAGCTCTTGATCATGAGGGTTTAGAGTTTAGGGTTTAGGGTTGAGGGTTTGGGGCATTGAGGGTTTAGGGTTGGGATTACCTGGACCCTCCAACCACCAAGCCCTCAGACCATAAATCCTAAACCCCTATAGTTCACGATCAAAGCATCCCTGAACACCCTCAGCCCAAAACCCCAAATACCTTAAAACCCCTACATCCCTTCAAGAAACCCTTGCTGCAGGCATCCTAAACCGTAAAGGTTGCCCCTAAGGGTCCAAGTACCTAATTATCATATACCCGCCAAAATAGTAACCTGCATAACTCCTATCCGAAAACCGAGTAGCTATCTATTGGGTCCTTTGGACCCTTAGGGTGAAGGTTGCTGTCTCCAGGAGACCGCCGTGTGCAAAGGGAGCCGGACTGATCCGACGGCCCAGGTGTCCGAGGAAGGAGAGCTCTAGGAGATTAGGGACCCAAAAAGCACATAAGCACGAGCATTTGATAGGGATCTCCCTACCTTATTGAGCTTCATTATAAGGTGGTTTATACAGGATATCCCTATGCTTATGTGCTTATTGCGGCCCTATTAGTAAGGGGGCTTCCTTAAAGGGATCCATACGGGATCTGTAGGGGTTTAGGGTTTAGTCTCTGCTTGGAGGGTTAGGGCGACTTAGTAATGCTCCTTAGTCCTAAGGGCTCCTTAAAGGGAGCTATAAGGGCATTATAAGGGGCTCGACAAGGGTGGGGAGGTATGGGACGTAGAAGTAGACTTATAAGTACCCTGAAAAGGATCTTAGTCGGGGTTATGGTACTTATAATAGTTCAAGATAACTACTCAGCGGCCCATGCTCTGAACCCTAAACCCCGAAACAGCCGACTCCTAACGCTTAAGACCCTAGACCCTAAACACCCAAACCATAAACTCTAAAACCCTAAACCCCCAAACCTAAACCCTAAAGCCCTACAAGCTAAACCTCCAGTAGGCACCTCGTCGCAGAGACTGCGCAGAAAGGGCCCCGAGCCTGCACTTGGCCCAGCGGTTCCGATTGCCCGGCAGGCATCAAAAGACTGTCTGGTTTTTAGTAGGGAATGGGGCTCCTTTAAAGGGTCCTATAAGGGTTGTTGGGAATGGGGGAATGGGTTGTTGGGACTGCTATAGGGAACTTTAAGGCACTATCATGGGGATCCATTCTCCCATTCCCTACTAAGAACCAGACGGAAGAGAAGAGGTCCCCATGTGTCTTTCTTTACCCCTAAGAGTCCAAAGCATCGAATAGTTCGGTGTTTAGGGTAGTTTGCCTTTGGTAAAGTATATTATAGATTTTCATGTACTTCGACCCTTAACAATCACATACATAACTACTACCCTAAAGCCGAATGCCTGGATATTGGGTCCTTTGGACCTTACGGTTAGCGTATTAGAAACTCGGCCTCTCAGTGGGCCTTGTGTTCCCTTTTTGGGGTCTGGTGTTCTTTATAAGACTGTGCAATACAAAAGAGGGGGCTTCCTAAGTTACTGGACATCTTAATTATCCCGAAGTTAGGTCCCTAAGCTGCAAAAGGACTTTGTGAGACGGGTTCTATAAAGGTTCTATTCGGGCGTTGGTTGGAAAGGGTTTCATACAGTATGGCTTTAAGGGTCCAAAGAACCTGGCATGTACGATCGTAGTTTTGTAGGGTAGGGTTTATCAGGGTGTCTGATTGTCGGAAAGCCTAGGCCTAGACCCTAAAGGTCCAAACGACCCAGGAATTAGGTAATTGGGTGTAGGATAGTAGCTATGTAGCTCAATATTTGGGAGAGTAAAGGACTATTAGGTACTGGCACCCTCAGGGCCCTAAACCCTAAACCCCTAAACCCCTAAGCCCGAAACGCCTAAACCCCTAACCCCTCAACCCTAAACCCCTAAAACCCTAAACCCTAAACCTTAAAACCCCTAAACCCTAAACCCTAAACCTTAAAACCCCTAAACCCTAAACCTTAAAGCCCCTAAACTCTAAACCCTAAATTAGCATTTAGGAGCTCAAGTACTGGACTCCGTTCAACTAGGTATGTTTTTAGATGGGTCGAGTACTTTATTAAAAAACCAGGCTTTAGGGTTTAGGGTTTAGTATTCAGGGTTCAGGGTTCAGGGTTTATGTTTTAGGGTCAAACCGTTCACTAACTGTCAAGGCCATTGTATGACTGTTTTCCCATTTCTTGCAATGTCTGATCCCGACTAGGCTCCAGCCTTTGGCTTAAAACCCACTTCCGGTCTGAGTCTAAATAAACCCTGAAGCACCAACGTCAGGTATTTGAGTGTAAGATAATCGTTTTGCAGGTTAGTGCTGGGGACAGTCTATGATTATTCGGCGCTTGATCCCTGATGCTAACTACTATCCGGAAACCCGGACATTCAAGTTCTACATGCACATCTGGCCAGGAAACTGCTTACATCAAGCCCACCATGCTTTAAATCCCCAAACCCCAAAACTACATATCGACATTTAATGTATAGAAGCCAAAGAGTCCGAGTACCGAATTATCACATACTCTCCAAAATACCTTAACCTACTATCCTTAAACCGAGCACCTGATTGATTCGGGACCCGCCGAAAGAGATACCTGGACCCTTAGGGTAAACCCTGAACCCTAAACGATTCTACTATTGACAACCCCAGGGTATGAGAACACAGGCCGCCCGAGCAGCCCCTGCCGATTCGTGGCCTCATATGGGCCTTGAGGCCGGTTCTGGCTCTAAAGTAGGGCGGTCCCTTTGTAGGGTTTAGGGCTTCGGGTTCCTTAAAGGGATCTAGAAGGGTTCCTATAAGGGTTTCTGTAAGGGTAGGTCTTTAAATCATAGGAGGCCAAAAGGGGTTTTAGCTTAGAAGGGTTTTGTAGGATTAGGGTTTCCATAATCGGGTTCAGATTAAAGAATCCCCACCCCAAGAATGTTAACCCCCACTTATGGCCTCCCATCAGCGAGGCAATCATGGTTCTGCTGCGGCGGTGGCGGCGCTTGCCGAACAGGAGGTGTTTTGGATCATTTTGGCGATGGTGGTGATCAGGGTCACGCCTTGCATCATCCCTGTTTTCGCAACACCGTATGTTGGAACTGAGTGCATCCAAATGGATTGGTTGCATGTGCTGGACATAGGAATTGCTTTGCAGTTCCTGGGATCCATAGCGAAGTACTTCTGCTCGAAGTGTGCAGGGACGTTTGACGAGCAGGTTCGAGATATGTTCCGCTGCTATGATGTCCAGGCCGTGGAATATAGATTGGATCATCTAAAGTCTTCAATGATCAAGGATCCTAAGAAGAAGTTCCCCAAGCTTAGAGCAAAAGCTGTGGAATCGCGATGCCTGGTGCCTTGGGCTGTGCAGATGGCTGATGCCCTTAGGGATGGGGTTTAGGGTTTAGGATTTCGTGGCAGTTTGGGGCTTGGGGTCTGGGGGTGAGGGTTTGGGGTTAAGGATTTAGGGTTTACGATTTAGGGTTTAGGCTGTAGGGTTTAGGATTTAGGGTTGAGGGTTTTGGGTTTAGGGTCTTAGGGCCTAGGGTCCTGTCTAAGCGGGCGCTAGTTGCTTTATGGAGGGTCATGGGACTTAGGACGTAAGAGCACATTAGTACATCAGCTAGGACTGAAAGTACTTGTAGGAGTAGTTACACACACTCTTTATAACCCTGTTGTTATGTGGTCCCCATGATCCTTTAAGCAGGGTTACGGGTTAAGGGTTCGTTTGAGGATCCCCGGATTTGTGTCAGGGGTTCCTACAGGGATGCAAGGGGTTTCGGGGTTAGGGCTTAAAAGATTTAGGTAAAGGTAAGTAGAATATCCTAGTAGTAGAATAGGTAACCTTTAATTTTTTTGGGTAGTATAGTCCTTATATAATCGCCATATGGCCCTGGATACCCAAAAAGGTTAACCTTTATTTCCCCATGATACCCGACAAGTAGAACATGCCTAAATCTAGAAGGGCCCCAAGGTCTGATCCAAGATCTGTCGCAATGTCACCCTGTTGCCGAAAAAAACCTACACTTTCAGGGCTCCGTTTTATGGTTTCCACATATAGTTCCTTAAAAAAGGTAGGTTTGTGGGCCACAGGTATTGCTTAAATCTAGGTTTTGGAAACCCGTAATACAGAGGGGCTTTCATAATTACTTATACTCTTGAAAGAGGTTTCTTGTTATAACTTTAGTAATTGTCATGTTCCCCAAAACCCTATTCTAATTTTTGAAGGCCCCCATAGTAAATAGGTTAAGATAGCTCTCCTGAAGGGGCCGTTCTGTGCACAACAGATCCCATGTGGGAGCGCAGGTTTCTCGACCCAGCGAGCCACAAAAACCCCCGACCTGGAATACCAGGGTTTAGGATACCTTAGATCATGATCGTAAGGCTCCTCTGGTTGAGGCACATTCCTTGTTCTAGGGGTATTGGGGTTTCTAGGTTTGTGCAGTTCATTTCATCGTCGCTGAAGCCTCGACTCAAAATTACCAAACCCAGGGGGTTAGATGCCACAGAGCCTGTATTCAGGGAACCTGGAATATCCTTAAATTTCTGTTGCAGCGCCCTAAACCCTATAAATAACCCCTATACCCTACACCCTCACCCCCAAGCCCGCAGTCTTGAGAGTCAGAAGTGGCATACATAAACCCTAAGCCCCTAAACCCTAAGCCCCTAAACCCTAAGCCCCTAACCCCTGGAATCTATACCCTGAATCAGGCCGTACTTCATTGATTGGCTGCAGCGGCGGAAGAGGCCCTGGGTTGCCAAACACACCATCAGCTCAGGATGTTTGTGGTGTGTGTTTCGGTTCTGGTTTTGGGTTTAGGGTTTAGAGGTTTAGGATCTAGGGTTGAGTTTTCATGGGTTTCGGATGGGTTTTGGGGGTCGCAGTTGACACCTCGAGCCACTGCCCAACACGCCCATCCGTTAATTCCATTAGTGCCTGTGCTTTGTCAGGACATGGCATCGTTAACATGTACCAGACCCCATGTCCCTATATAGCTGTATACTACGATACACCCCGAAATTGAGTATAAGGGCATATTTACATGTCGAGGTTTTGGCACCCAGCACCTCCGACTATCGCGCAAGCACCACCATCGGAACGATCGCTTATTGTGGACGACTTTGTGTGCTATTGTCGGGTGGGTTTGTGGTTCCCTGATACTTTGGGACAGAGTTTGTCAGGTTTTAACCAAGACACTAAATTGCGGGAAGGTTTCCACTAAGTTTTCAGCTATCTGTTTAGGTGGTTCGCGGCTTAGGGAATATACCCCAAGCCCTGAACTCTTGACCCCAAACCCTAACCCCTTTAAGCCCTGACTCCGGCACGCGTAACCCCGAACGGCCCGAACCCTGTTTCCAATATTGGAAGGCCGTCAGCACTTATCGGAATAATTGCACTTTAAGATGCTCCTTCGGTTGATGACATAAATCCTGCATGACCCATAATAAGGAATACACCATAATTCCAATAGTTTAGGGTCCTTAAGGTAATGCAGGATTTATATCATCAACCGTTGTGCTCTTCTGCAAGATAGGCTGTTTCCTTCAACAGCAAGATCTCTCGAAGCCCCTTTCGTAGCTACGGTGTTTGGACAAAAGCCTCAGAATATCGGTGGGGTCCTGAGCCATAAGGTTTAAGACTTCTTAGCTCCGGAGGCAGCGACTAACTATTGAAAACTCAAAGACTCAGAGGCCCTGTCTTTCAACCATAAGGCCCTTATGCTTAAGCCTGGAAGCGCTAACCTTAAGGGTCCAAACAAATATGGGAACCTCAAAATTGAGGGTTCCTGAGACACCAAAGAGACTCAAGGACTCTCCCAGGACGTTCCGGACCCTTCTAAGGAGATGCCTGGACCCTTAGGGAAGCCACGAAACCCCAAACCCTTAATTTCCAGGATTCCAAGACCTAAGCTCCGACATGCTAAGGCTCCGAACCTTCAGCCTCGAAAAACCCTAAACGCTGCAACCCTAAACGCTTCACGATTCTGAAACCTAACTGTAAGCGCTTTAAGACTCTGAAACCTAACTCTAAGCAGTTTAAGACTCTGAAATCTAACCTTAAGCACTTTAAGACTCTGAAATCTAACTTTGAGCACTTTAAGACTCTGAAATCTAACTTTAGGCACTTTAAGACTCTGAAACCTAACCTTAAGAAGCAAAAGGCTGCGACTGTTTACCAACTTGGTCATCTCGCTGCCCGACTCAGCGCCAAGCCCTTGGAAGCTTTTTTAGGGTTTAGGGTTTATAAGGTTTAGGATTTAGGGTTTAGGATTTAGGGTTTAGGGTTTATAAGGTTTAGGATTTAGGGTTTAGGATTTAGGGTTTAGGGTTTATAAGGTTTAGGATTTAGGGTTTAGGCTTTAGGGTTTAGGATTTAGGGTTTAGGGTTTAGGATTTAGGGTTTAGGATTTAGGGTTTAGGCTTTAGGGTTTAGGATTTAGGCTTTAGGGTTTAGGATTTAGGGTTTAGGCTTTAGGGTTTAGGATTTAGGGTTTAGGCTTTAGGGTTTGGGGTTATTGTTTAAGGTTTAGGGTTGAGGGTTTAGGGTTTGTTTAGGGTTTAGGGGGTGGCAAGGCTCCGTTTGGGGCTTTCATGTAGGTTGTAGCTTTAAGTCCTTACCCAGACCCCCCGGAGGATCCAAAAAGTAGATCCCTTAATGGGGCGTCCTATAAACTACCCTTAGGAGTATAGGGCCCCAAATCAGGAGATCTACTTTCCAGATCCTCCCGGGGTCTGGGTAGGAGGGCCGGGTATCTTCCATAGCCTGAACCCTATAAACGCGAAACCTCAGACCCTAAACCCTAACGGCCCCGGCATGTTTTGTAGCAGGGTCCGGAATCTTCTGGGGAGAGGCCTGGGTGTTCCAGAAATCCCACATGTTGAGGTACCCACAGTGTTAGGACCCCTAGGGCCTTAGGGTTGTGTAGGTTCCATTGCAAGGTTTATAGCGAATCCCAGAAAGTTGGAACACGGGTTTAGGAGGATTAGTGCTAGGATCCCGTATACTTTATCTTAAGGGCATGAGGATACTAGTGTTTCAACTTTCTGGCTTCTACAAAAGGATACAGGGTTTCAGGAAAGCCTCTGATGTTTCAGGGTTCAACGCATTGGGCCCGAATGTTCGAAAGAGCCCCTCTGGTGTTGTGTACATGATAGGGTTCCCTGAACCTTAAACCCTTGAACCCTGAGCCCAAACCGGGACGGTTTTGTGAAAGGCAGCCTTCAAGCCTCACGAACCTGCGGCCTCAGTCTTGTCCGTGTCGTGATGATGAGGTAATGTTCAAGAAGGATCGCGATGACAAGATGCTCTCTGTAGATGGTGCTGGACACGTGTCCCTGCGCTCGCAAGTTGCAAAGGTCGACGCCGATGTGTCGTCGGACCTCCTGCTGAAGTTGGCATTGACCCGTAGGGGTTTGGCTCTGGACCAAGCAGGGGTTGTCACCTTCTCGGAGCACCAGCGGTGGGTGGAGACGCTTTTCAATGCTCGCTCCAGGGATCCGCCCGACAACTATGCTCGTGTGACACTGCAAGCTTATGCAAGCGGATCGCCAGTTGTTCGTTGAAGCAGCTGACCGGACTCGTCATGGCATCGAACTCATATATTAATGCTTGTGTGCCCAAAGATCATACTATGTAAGGCTTTTGGGCGATTTTGATCCCCAGGGTTAGGGAATGGAGAAGTATTAGGAACAAGATGTTCGCAGCAGAAGCGGTCTGCTTGCCTTTCTGGGCTTTGCTTTTGTGTGGGCCTGGGTGTAGGGTTTCAGGGTTTATAGGTTTATAGGGTACAGGACTCTTTTTCAAGAACTCTTAACAGCATCCCTTTAAGGCGTCGTTTCAAGGACCGCTTATAAAGCTTCCTTTAAAGGATCTTCTCTTTAATCCATAGATGGCCCCGGGAGTCCTAGAGGGACCCTTTGAACGGGACTTGAGCTTCAACGTACCCACACAGGACCAATTCCTAAACCCTGGTATGGGACCGATTAAAGGCTCAAAGGACGCTTTAAAGGATTCTCGAGGCGCCTTAGGTACATCGCAGACCTCGACATCTTTTCTAGGTAGCAGCAGGGAGACCTTTGCAAGGGGACCCTTCTAAACCCTACTTCTGGCTTTCTTAACAGGGCCCTATTGAGGCTTGAGAGGGTTCATATCCACAAGGGCCCCCCCTAATCCTAACTCCCAGTCCCTAGCCCGCTTTCGAGAGCTTTGTATATGAACCTGCATTGCACCTCTAGTCCCCAATGTAATTGGCTTCCGTTTTGGTGGTATAATGAAGCTAGAATTTATAGGCAGGGTCCTAGAAGGTGGTCTAAAAGAGGCACTACAATGGAGACGATCGGTAGAACTCCTACAGGGCCCTTTAAACCCTAAACCCAAAGCCCTAAACCCTGGAACTCTCAAAGGGCCCTTTAAACCCAACCCTAAACCCCCCAAACCCAACCCTAGAACCCCGAAAGGGCCCTTTAAATCCTAAGCCCTAGAACCCTCCCTAGAACCCTTAAAGGGACCTCTAAGCTTTAAACTACTTTAAGCCCTAAACCCTAGAACCCTTAAAGGGCCCTTTAAAGGATCTTCAGGGGCATCCTTGCCCTGGAAAAACCCGCTAAGGCTCCGGCGCTTCTCGGCGCAGGGCGCCGAGTCTTCATCGCTACAGGACCCCCGAGGGTCCAAATAATCAGGTACTCTGGTTCACCCTAAGGGTCCGGGTATCTCCTTAGGAGGGTCCGGAATCTTAGGGAGAGTCCTTGGGTCTCTTTGGGGTCTCAAAAACCCTCACTTTTGAGGTTCCCAATTTGTTAGGACCCTTAGGGTAGTTATGTACGTTTATATTTGGGAGAGTATATGATTATTAGGTACCTGGACCCTTAGGGAGCTGCCTGGGCTTTAAGGTCTTTTGGCTCCTTTGAGGGGTCCTTCAAGAGGTTTAGTTTTTGGTGACAGCGCTTTGAGGTCTCATGGTTTAGGGTTTTTTATAGTTTAGGGTTTTAGGGGTTTAGGCGGGTTTTTGAGGGTTTTAGGGTTTAGGGTTCATGGCTGTCTTGGGGATTCAGGGTTCGTGGCCCCTAACGCCTAAACTCTGATCCCGGAGCCTTCAACCCCAAACAGATAATATAGCCCAAAGCCCCCTTCTAATTATTTAGCCCCTCCGCCACATTAAACCCTGGGGATCAAAATTGCACCCGAAAGCCTCAATATATGAGTCCTTAGAGCCCAGGGGAAAGAGCATCTGGCCTTATGACAATGATAATTTTGAATGGGTAGGGTATAGGGTTTAGGGTTTAGGGGGCTCCTTCCCTTAAGCTCACAGGTTTCATCAAGGGCCTCTCTAAAGGTTCCATGAGGGCTTTATGGGTTTCGTCGGGTGCAAAGAATTAAAAGTATCCCTATGGGGGGGGGCTCCAGGGGGGTAGATGACTTGCTAATGCCTAGTTCTATCTAGTGCTACCTAAGGTTGACTTCAGGTTCCCATGGATCCCTTGTACCCTCCCTCCATGATCCACCCTCCCTTAAGGACCCTATAAAAGAAGATAGGGGCCTCAATGGTTTAGGGTTTAGGGTCAACAACTAGAGTGAGATTTTGGAAACATCATTGTCGAGTTTTGTGAGGACTATAATGGGACTGCCGAATAGGGCCACTAGTACAGATCAGAAGCTGCCCCCACCCTGTAATAGTGATATAAATATAATGGGGCCCTAATATAATCCTATATAATCCATATAGTCACTATCACAGGGTGGGGGCAGCTTCTTTCATTCATTCTCTGCGGTTGAGTCGGTAAACGACGCTCGCCTAGCAAGGTGAATTCAAACTGCATTTAATTGAAAGTGGGGTGGCGCAGAAATCTATTGACATAGTATGCGCTCACCGGACAGGGGTGGGATGTAACCAGCAAACGGAAAAGCTGTCCCAACCCCACAACAAAATCAAAGATGGCGCATGGAAGAATGCCTGAGAATGCACGGCAAACAAAGGATGCTTTGTATTCCGTAAACGGCGATCAAAGCATCAGACAACGTACGATCCACATATCGGACCCAAGACGTGCAGGATCTTCCTCATGGGTATCAGCTGAGGCCATTCCTACACGGTTACAATACCCAGGATGTCTAACACCTTCATCGAGGTGATATCGGGACATCAAACTCAACCATAGCATGAAGGCCATAGGACCTCCACACGCAAATCTAAAGCGCTCCAGCATCACTCACTTACATGATCAGGAACTGCTAAGCCAGGATAGCGGAGTCAGCGTCATTAGATCGAAGGCCTGACGAGCCTCTGTTCTGCTTGATGGCGCACTGCTGGAAAGCCGACGTCTTCATGCAGCCAGCCGCAAATTCCTGACGAGCCTCTGCTCTGCTTGATGCCTCTCAGCTGAAAAGCCGGCGTCTTCTTGATGGCAGCCACAGCCATCACGGTGAAGTGTGCGAGCATTGTCCTCCAAACCATCTCCACACACATGTTCAACATGGCCACCTTGCGCAGCATGTCCTTCGAGCCCATAAACACCATCACATCGGGTGAAGTGCATGAGCTGCCAGGTTGCCGCTTGGTGGTGCAAACGCCCTCGCCTGACGAGCCTCTGCTCTGCTTGATGCCGTGCGGCCTGAAAGCCAGCGACTTCTTGAAGCCAGTCACAGACTCCTTTATGGTGAGTGGTGCGAGCGAGTCCTCCCAGCCCATGTTCAATATGGCCACTCTGCACAGCATGTCCTTCGAACCCGTATACACCATCGCAACAGGTGAAGGGCATGAGCTGCTAGGTTGCCGCTTGGTGATCCATTCTCCCTCGCATGACGAGCCTCTGTTCTGCTTGATGCCGCGCAGCTGAAAAGCCGGCCTCTTCTTGAAGCCAGTTGCAAACTCATCTGCTGTGTGGTCTGCGAGCATGTCCTCCGAACGAATGCTCAACAAAGTCACCTTACACAGTGTGTCCTTTGCGTCCATGATCGCCATCATGTCGGGTGAATGCAAAACCTGAATGCCCAGCTTGTGCATGGCACACTTGCCGCTATGCACTGCTTGCCCGTAGCCGGCAGACGCACCCATGGCGGGTGCTGGGGCCTACAATATTCCTGCCCTGCGCAGGCGATTTGGGCCCTGGGCAGCTTCTAGAGTACAGACAAAGTCCTTCTTCATCTTGGGGTTCTTCTGGTTGGCTCTTAGGACTTTAACTGTTTGGGTTTCTATACGACCCATAATAAGGAGGCTCCCACAAGTGTTTTTTTTCCCCTGCGTCTAGCCCGAGGATGTTGCAGGACCTTATGTTCCGAAGACCTTACAGGCTAAAAGTTTAACTTTTTGGAGGGGTTCAGAAGTCAGCCAAGTCATGAGCCCAAATCCAAGAGAAAGGCTCGGGTTTCTGAGACCGAGTAGTGGACCAAGCGCAAGATGTCTCGCATCGTCAGTGTACTGTAGGGGCCTACATCATTACCAATATTATGGTGGGGCTTCCTTATCAAAGTTATAGTGGAATGGACCCTATTCTAATCATTAAGGCCCCTATATTAAAGCTTGAAGGCCTTGAATCTGAAATGCAACATCCCCGAAAGCTGATGCCAATTGACACCCCCAGGCCTTATACAAGCTTCAACTAAAGCCCTACTTACAGCCCCACGCCCTAAACCCTGAATCACCTTCTGCCTACAGAACTCAGAACTCCAAAACCCAAAGACAACAAAGCAACCAAGAAGCCCTAAACGGCCGTAAAAGTGGAACTGCAGCACCAATGAGCCGTAATCCCACAACGCAAACGCTCTGGCAGTCTCTTCTCGACCTCACGGAGCGAGATTTGCTGGTCGCCCGCACCCCAGTTTAGGGGTTCAGGGTTTTGCGGATGGGATTTGCCCAGCCGGCACAAAAGCCTTCAATGAATGAGGAGTATTGTACGTCAGGATGTAAAGGTTGTAATTCATTATTAATTAAAGGTATTAGAGCCAGAAGTAGGTACTGCAAATGCCTGACACGACGGGTCCACCCAAGAATGAGGATGTTACAGAGTCTTGCAAGAGACACATAAGGGTGTTATAGGGCTGTATAGGTATCTATCAGGACCCGAACCAGGGCCACTTTCTTGCGGGTCTTTTTGCCCCCCCCTTGTATTTTTGAAGTTCCCACAACATAGAACAGATCCTCAACTCCGTCGGCCCTGGGAATCAGAACAGACTTTATAGGGCTATATATATATATATATATAGATATATATATATATATATATACATATAGATATTTAGGGCTTATAAGGCTTCCTTCAAAGGGTACTATAAGGGGAAAAGCAGCCCCTCGCGAATGCTTATCAGGGCATTTGATGATTAGAATAGGGCCATCGGGTTATCGTACGCTTCTGCATGTCTCCCAAAACCGCGAACGCTAGAGCGCTTAATCTTACCTTTGGTTAGTAGGTAATGGAAGAATGGTAGCAATAGTAGTTATACTTGTACCCCATTCCTCCATTCCCTGCTAACCAAAGGTAAGTTAATTTAGGATGTCGTGCTGCCAACCTTAGGCCCTGAACGACAACAGACCCCATGCTTTGCCTCTAGTAGAAGCCAGAAAGTTGGAACATCATTATCCTCGTGCCCTTAAGGTAAAGTATCAGGGATCCTATCAGGAATCCTCCTGAAGCCATGTTCCAACTTTCTGGCTTCTTCTGTACAGTAACCCAGATACTCCGCAATGCCTCAATGGATTAGCCCCTTCAGGAATCAGGAAGCAACCACGTTTTAGAGAGTAGTGTTGTGCAAGCTGCTTCCAGTATCATCCCGTGCCAAGCAAGTTGGCTCATAACTTTTACTACTGCTGATGGTATAAATCCAGCATTACCCATAATAAGGAATATACCATAATTCCCATAGTTTAGGGTCCTTAAGGTAGTGCAGGATTTATATCATCAACCGTACTGCTGCTGCTGTTGTTGCTCCTGCTCCTACTAATCCTTCTGCCTCGGCATCTGCGCCTGTCGAAGTGCCGGCTCAAGTTGCACTTTTGCAATGAACAGTGCATGGTTTAAGAAACAGGGTCTGCTTAGAGCCCCCAACTACCCTCGAATATATTCTACTCGTTCTTTCAAGGTGTCGAAGGGCGGTAAAAAATACACTTTTGAGGGTTCCTGGTGCTGGTGTTCAGAGTGCAGGGTTCACGTGTCGGACTTGCATGGGGCCTGCCGGGGCTCTAAGAAACCTGAACACACAATGATTTCTTTGTACAGGTCCTTAACAATGTGGGCTTTGTGGGGGAGTTAAGGTAGAGCCGACGACTCTACTGGCGAAATATAGGGGTCTTAGTAATTAGAATAGGGCTTTGGGGCCCATTATACTATAACTATATTAAGAAACCCCGAAATAGTAGAGGTAATATTAAGGCCCCGATACTTTAGTATCCTTATAGTAGCCCTTATATAGAACCCTTTTAAGGATCCCTTTAATTGGACCCCTATAGAACCCTATATCCGTGGGGGCCTAAAGCCGAATCTGCGATGGCGGACCTCTCCAGCCCCTTGCACGAGTACATCCCTGCTGGCCGAGGCAACTGTTGGAGTCTTAGTAGCTGGGTGGATACACTTTACACTTTGGGGGATAGTATGACCCCCACTATAAAACTAGACGTGTACACTTTTGGGGGGCTTCTGAACACAGCAACTAACGACTTCCTGCCCCCAGAAGCCCAGATAGAAGTACGTCTACAATCATGGGTTGTGTATTTTTGTGTTGAGATGGTTTCTTTGGGCTTGTGCAAAAAGCCGTAAGGTGCGATTCCAGGCAACCCTATGGTTTCCGTTGTGGAAGCCGTTACAGATCCGTTTAAACCTAGCCGTCTAAGGAACCCCTGAACCAAATCGTAAAGCCCGTCAGCGCTAAAGCCACAAACCGCAAACCTCCATCCGAATTGCGGACAGTGGAAGGCCATTTTTGGGAGCTCCACCGGCAGCTGGCAGAATGCTTCTCGGCCGTAGGCCTTGCGGGGGTTTAGAGTTGTGAGTCTCAGGTTTAGGGGTTTAGGGTTTTAGGTTTGGAGTTTCGGGTTTAGGGCTCAGAGTTCCGCGGTTTGGGTTCAGGGTTTAGGGTTTGGGGCTGAGGGTTCAGGGCCAAGGGCTTAGGGCTCAGGGTTTAGGATTTAGGGTTCAGGGTTTCGGGGTTAAGGGTTGCAGGTGCAGGTTTCGGGCTTCACGGGGTCAGGTTTCCAAGTCCTATATTTTTTCCTATTGGGGCCCCCCAAACAAATCACCGGGCCGGAATAACTCAGAAAAAAGTTTTTCCTATTGGAGGGTATCAAACTAGTCAGATCCTCACATTACCAGGGTGCCTGCACCCTGGGCGCCAGTTCAGCTTATATAGGGCGTCTTATGCTTTATAGGTGTGCCTGGGATACAGAAATCCATCGAACCCTTGACCCCGAGCATTTAATCCCTAAACCAAAACCTACCTTAAACAGCCATTTTTCTATTAACTGACCCTCAACCCTAAACCCTAAACCCTAAACCTAACTGAGGCTACACAAGCGACATGGCTGCCTGCGAAGGCCGCAGAAGGAACTCCTTTAACCGACAGATACTCGGCTGAAACGGTTTAGGGTTAAGGGGTTTAGGGGTTTAGGGTTTGGGGGTTTAGGGTTTAGGGTTTAGGGGGGGTTTAGGGCCTAAAGTTTAGGGTTCAGTTTGAGCAGTGGACGCTTTAGTCTTGTGGTGCTTAGCTTAGCCCTCTCGGATGGCTTTCTGGCTGCCACCACACAGGCTAAACCCCCATTCCAAGTAGACCGCCCTACATAATCCTTAGAATCCGCCTTTCCGGCAATCAGCAAGCCTTATCTAAAGTAGCTCAAGAGCGTACAATCCTACAAAGGACGACGGTAAACCCCCTACAACATCGTACAAAGCCGCCCTACAACCCTTCTAAAAGCAAAAATTGCCACAGAAGCACAGCATGAACTTCTGGGTATGGGCATTTTTCCCTATTCCCTGAACCCTGAACCCTATCATCCGAACGAAGCTCTGCTTTTTCCCCATCCCAAGGGGCAGCGCTGGCTTCTCCGATCGAGCGGCCCTGTCAGCAAGCTGAAGGGTTCGGCTCTGATCTGCGGTTTTGGGTTTTTTTCGAGCATAGGAGCCTCCATCGTAAGCCCTTGTCTTTTGGTTTATTCGCACCTCTGCAGCGCTGGATGTTGATTTAAAATAGCTTCAGGGACGGAAGCCTGACTAGTCAGATAACGCAAGGTCTCCAGAGTTTGTTTTGTTTATAGCATATAGGTATAGGTTTTAAGCAGTAGGTCTCAGTAGGTAAACCCCAATCTTGACAATCCCTACGCCTTACTCCAAAGAATCGCGAAAGGCAGGTCGATAAGTTGATCAGAACAAAGTCCTGCTACAATGGCCGGTAGAGGCCGCAGAATTCACTTGCATGCAGCGCACTGCCAATCCGGACGCTGGGTCTTGGGCGGTTTAGGGTTTAGGGTTTAGGCTTTCTGAGCAGGCCGTCGACAGCATATGACAGCATCGGCCCCCAAAAACGGCGTGTCGACCCGGGTATGGACTGCGGCTTCGGCAAAAGGAAAGCGATGCGACGGGTGCTCATCGGCGCGTCAGCCAACCATCTGAAAAGTTCGCACTGGCCGTGCTGTCGCGCCCCCAACGTCAACCTCTGTTCTTGGCGCCGTAATTAACCAGGATCCGAAAGCACCTCTACCAAAAGCTACATGGGTGGTTTTCAAAATTATGGTTCCTTTTTAGGTCCCTATTATAATGCGGCACCTAATATTTAGGGACCAAAAAAGGGAACATCATTCTGACAACCACCCACATGAATCAGCCCAACACCCTACCCTACCGGTCCTGACAAATTGGGGAACCTCAAAATTGAGGGTTTTTGAGACCCGAAAGATTTTCCAAGGACTCTCTACGAAATTCCGAACCCTCCTAGGGAGATACCTGGAGCCTTACCCTAAGGGTCCAAGTACCCAAATAGTAGGGTTTCAAGGTCCAAAAACCATTCAGAGTATGGATTTTCGGACCTGAAACCCTACTATTTGGGTACTTGGACCCTCGAGGTTAGGGTAAGCCCTAAAGCCAGCTCTTTGACACCCAGGCAGCTCGAAGTCTGTGAAGGTTTAGGGTTTAGGGTTTAAGGTTTAGGGTTTGGGGTTTAGGGTTGTAGGGTTTGAGGTTTAGGCAGGGGAACTCTGACTTGGTCGGAGAAGCCTACCCGAACCCCAAAACCTAGACCTCTAGGGTTTAGGGTTTATTATAAGGTGTAGGCTGATGAACCCTGCATTACTCATGATAGGGAAGTCATTATGCCCTGTTCCAGCGTGTTAGTGCCGGAGTTCGTCCGTCCGCCGTAGCTACAGACTTGCCAAACCCTACGTTTCAACTGCCCTGCATCCTTCACCGCTTCTTTATTCGGGTTTAGGGTTTAAGTCGGTATTAGGGTCCCTAAACCATATAGCCATCAGCTCCTGAGGGGGGCATGGTGATCTCTTCGGCCATGGCGGTGCCAGAGTTGTCACCACCGAGCCCACAGAATCTGAACTGAAGGAGTGTTAACTGCGTGTGTGTGTGTGTGTGTGTGTGTGTGTGTTTCTCAGTGTGTTGCGTCTGGTTTTATGTGGGGGGGGGGGGCGGTGTGCAAGGGTTTCACAAGGCTTCATCGGTCTGTAACGACGGGTTCTATGATTTTGGGGATTTATGAGGGTTTGCTGTTCCAGAGGTTTCCTCACGGTATACAACAAAAGGGCTTTACAAGTTCTTGTAAGGCATTGCAAGGGCCGCCTCGCATACAAAAGCTTGAAAAGAGCACAACCACTATTTTT